CCTTGAATATCTATGCCAAAAATCTCGCAGGTATCTTGAACTTTGCACCAGGCTGACGCTCGGTGTATTTATATTATTGGTAACATTTGCCACTACATTGCACTTGTACTGCTTGCATACAAGCAATAGTTACAAAAGGTATCTTTATTAAAAATTTAAAAAAAGCAAATGAGTTAGTGGCGTCAATATTTTTAATCAAGTATCGTCAATTTCTTTGCAGAAACATTTTGCTAAATTATTAGTTTATTATTCATTTACTTTTTGTTTTTAAATAACAAACAATTATTTGCTCAAAAATCTTTGTTTATTTGTCGTATTTAAAACATTTGTCTAAACTAAATCAATTTATTTAAACAAACAGCATTTTTAACTGTATAAAATTAGAAAAGTTTTATTTAGTACTTGTTACAACCTGATAGTGTAAATAGTTTAAATTATATTTTAATGTTTTTATAATTAAACAAAACAAAATGTTTTTGCAATGTTAAATAAATGCAGTTTGGTGACAAGTAACAAGAATGTGTTTTTGTGATTACTTAATTCCCAGTTTTTTAGAATTTATTGTTAAACCTTAAATTGGTAATGTGTTAGCATAAATGAAATTAGAAAAGAGTTAAGAAAAAACAAAAAAAAAGTAAAAAACAAAAGTAAATGCAAAACAAAAATTAGAATTTCTACAAAAACAACAATTGTTTCAGAAACAATAAAACAAAAAACAATTTATTGAGTGTGATTTGTCATTTCAGTTTTTTGCACAATCTAATCATTCAGCACTTTTTTAAATAAAAAATTAATTTTTGTTTAATTTTTTTAATGAAAAATTTTATTTATTTTTAAAAACCGTTTTTATGTATTTTTACAAAAAAAATTATTTAATATTTGTATAAAACTATGTTGTTAAGTATTTTAAACATTTAGATTAAAAAACAATGTTGTTTGTTTTATTGACTGCAAACGCACGAAATATGTACAATGTGGCAACGGTAAAAGAGGTCAAAATCGTGCCTCAATCACTTATGTTAAAAACCTGGTATTTATGTACATGTGAAAAAACATATTTTTACTAGTCACTTAAAGATGCTAAAAATAATAAAAACAAAGTTTTAAAATTTGAACATAATAATTTTAATTGAATCAAAACATACGATAAGTATGACTGTTAAATTTGAAATTTTTTTTATTTTTAAAACAATTTTGAATATAAACAAATTTTTTTATAAAATTAAAAATTTTTTAAATTGTGTAAAAACTAAAAGATAATTATTGAATTTAAAAATGCAACTTTTGCTTACACAATTGTTTTTGAAAGTTGCATTTGTAAACCAAAAATTTTTGTTTTGAATAACCTAACTTAAGTCAACTTTATGTTGATTTGATTCAACACATCTGTTTGTCACCAGTTAAACTACCCATCACTTAACTTAACAATATTTTATTTATTTTTATTTTATTTTCATTTGTAAAATTATTTACATTTTTTACTTTTTGAATCATTATATGCAATTTTTTTATTAAACAAACAGCTAAATTTACAATTGTGATGCGACATTTCAAAATTAAAGGTGTAATTTACGTTTAGTGCTGTTGAGTTTTTTATAAAAAAAACAAACACCTTAGCTAAAAAATAAAAATGCTGCAATGCTGGTGTAGCTCAAAACTTCAATCAACTTAACTTATATGTATTATTAATATTTTCAGACAACTTTTTGATGATTTAAGTCATTTCAGTTATTGCATGAACAGTTGCTAGCAGTGCATTACATTTCTTTTTATACTTTAGTTTATTTGCTAAACGACAAAAAAGTACTTAAAAGTTAATTTTTAATAAAAAATGTTAAATTAATGAAAAATTTTTTTCTAAGTATTTAACTATGTTTGATTATGTTTTATTAAAAAATTTAATAAAATTAAAAATTTAATTATAAAAAATTATTGTTTTTAGTATTTTTACAAAAAAACATTTTTTAAACAAAAAACAAACAAAAAACTGTTATTTTTGAACATAGATGATTGTTGAAATGTTAAACAAAAAAATTAAATCTAAGTTGTGTTTTATTTTGATAACTTTAGACTTTCTTTGTTTAGAAAATGTTTAAAAACATGTAGTGTCAAAGCAAAAACTACATAATTTTTCCATTAAAAACAATTGATATTTATTTAAACATAGTTGAAACACGATAATTATTGTTAAATTTTATTTTGTTTACAAAAAGTGTATTTACACTATTTACAATTTTTAAAATGATTTCATTTAATTTTTTTAGAATTTGGAAAAAGGCAAACAGGAAAGAGATTTTCGCAAAGAAGAACGACACAAATGCGTTTTATATCTTACTTCGCTTGGAATTATTCGAAAAACATTTGACGAATCAAAACAAATAAAGTAAATAATTTTTTTATTTAAAACATAACAAAATTTTAACTTTTTTTGTTTAACAGAGCAATACTGAAAAACAACTTTATTGATTTTGATGAGCGTGATGTATACATTAATGAAGAATTTAAAAAAGAGCTTCGACAAAGAATGAATCGCTTATCAATGAAAAACTCTGAAACTTATGTGATTGAATTTAAAGTTCCGGTCTTTTTTGTTAATGGACACTTGCTCGGTGTAAGTGTGTTCATCTAGTAAAGCAGACTTATTTATTGTTGTTTTAAAACAAACTCGGTTTAATAATTTTGTTTTTGTTTTTTTGTAATCAGGGTTTCACGGAAATTGAGAAGCTGAATGAGTCAGGTCAGCTGCTGCAGCTGCTTGACCGGTACCGCCGTGCAAACCGCCTCTCAGCAATGGGAGTCGTCGACCTGGACGGCGATGATGTCTCTCTCTGCTCTAGATCATCCTCTGACAGTGCCCCGTCCTCGTCCACCACCTCCTCTTCACTGCAATCCACGTCGACCAGTGGCAACCAACACCAGCACAACCACGCCCATCACCACCCACTGTACCAGGCGGAATGTGCCCGTTGCGGCGGCACACGATTTGTAAACTGCGACAAATGTTTCGGTTCACGGAAGACATATATTCACCATTTTGACTATGCATCCGTCAGTTTAAAGTGTTCACACTGCAAAAAGACAGGCCTTGTTCGTTGCCCTGACTGTTTTAATGCCTAAATTGTTTTTTGCTTAACAACAACTGCAAATTCAGTAAACTTTGTGTTTTCACTATTTTTAAACATATCTTTTAATATATGATGATTTGTTGTTTTTAATTATAAATAAATTTTTAACTTGCATGAAATATTGAAACATTTTTTTGTAATTTAAATCTTTTAAATGTTGTTGAATTAAATTTCGTTTATAAATAGTTTTTGATGTTGTATACAATATTTGAAAAACAATAACAACCGTTTTGCGCATGAATTAAATAGAATATAAGGCGGAGCTATTATACAAACTGACAAAACAAAATCTGTTTCTGTCGTCTGTTTTGTGTTTAAAAGTATGTGAACAATTTACGCGCCAAGTTCATTTTAGTTATTCAGTTTTTAAAATGTCAAAGTGCAGTTAACTTTTACAATATTAAAACAATTAATTAATTTAGACATTTTTGATAAAATTAATAGATAAACCAAATTTTTAAATCTATAAAAATAAACCTTTTTTAAAATAAATTTTATTTAAATTTTAAAAATTTTTTATAAAATTGTACAACACAAGGTTTGTAAAAATCAAACAAAAAGTTTGTTTATTTTAGTTTTTGTTATGTAACAAACACCATTTAAAAACATTTAGTTCTAAACAAAAGTAAGTAAAAAACAAAATTTTTTGCAGTTTAAAAAAAGCAATTGATAAATGTTCAAATTGTGCATTTTGGGTTTCTTCGGTTGAACGAACTTTTCGTAAGAATTTAACAACAAACTGTTTCAAGTTGGTGCCATTTAGTAAAAAATAACTTGAACTTTTAATTTGAATAAAAAAAATTTTTACTAAACACATTAAAGTTATTTAAAAAACGTTTGCGTTGTGACTTTCTTCCACAGTTCGTTGTCGTTGAAACCTGAAATGTGTCAATTTGAAATTCATCGGATCTTTCATTTTAGTTAATTTTCAAATTGTAGCAAATTTTTATGAAACTTTTTATTTATATAAACAACTTACAACAAAAAATTTTTTAGAACAACTTTGGATCAATTTCGTGCAGCGAAATAACACCATCATTGTTGACATCAAGTTTGGCAAACTCTGACTGCACATCGGCATCAAACTGAGTATGCTCAATGAACTGAGCAAACTCATCAACATTCAGAGCAATATCACCGTTGGTATCAAACTTCTGAACAATGGTCACCAGTTGCATTTCAGGCATGGCAATGGCCTCACGTTTGAGCGAGTGTTTACCGCAGTTGAAGAAAGAGTTCCAGCACCAAAGTGACTCATTGCCCTGGCGGCAGCCTCCGTCGCAGTTACATCCAAACACGTTGCACTTGCCTGTAAAGATTTGTTTAGGCAAAAATTTAGCAATCGAACTACTTAAAAAGCATATTTCCTAGTATTACTCACCAATACCACAGTACACGGAAGCTTCGGTACAGTCGTAGCATCGACTCACTTTTTTGTTGTCCGGTTCTGTGCATTTGTACGGTACATGGCAGCAGTCACCATTAACTTGGTCAAGAACAAGCAATAGCAAAGCAGTGGTTGCCATGCCAAGCATCATCAGAGCGGTAAAAAATTTCATATTTGCAAAATAATTTGCAGTTATTGTTGTAAAGTCAACTTGAACAGTAAACTTGCTTTTCTTAAATTTGAGGCAAAACAAAGCGTTTTATATTTTTACTACTTTAAAATCTACCTAAATCTTGCATTAGCTACTAGTAAATAAAATTTAATAATTAATCAAAGATTGCAATAGCTTTTGATGGTGTTGCTACTAAACACTTTAAGTGGCTACTTGATACAATCTTATCAAGATGTTTTAAATTAATTTCCTCTATTTTTTGCAAGTTTATGCAATGGACAATCTAACAAAGCATTTACAATTTTGTAAGTTTTAATTTGTAATAATGTTTTAAAGTTCACTTTAATTTGCAGTCTGACTAGCGGATGAAAGTTAAAGTGTGTTTGCAAAAAAAACAATGTTTTATCTAATGACTCAAATAAATAATCATTTAAAAACAATTGTGCGTTTTGACTGCAATAATGAGTAACATTTTTAGTTTCAGCATATTACACAACTGATAGTTTTAATTAGTTTTTGTTACTTTAAACAAAACAAAAAGTTATAAAAAAATAAATTTAGTGCAAATAAAAAACACTGGAAGTCGCTAAACACTAAAAAATTGAATTCTACACATTTTCTTTAAAATTGTTAATTTTTTAATTTTTATTTTTATACTCTTTTAACGTTACCGTTTAAATTTAAAAAACATAAATTAATTAAAAATTTTAAAAAATATAAGTTTAAATGTTACACAAAAATAAACTTTTTTTAAAAATTAAAAGTTACAGTAACAAAAATGACTTTTTTCAATGCCAATAGACATTTTAATGACAAGGCTAAACAAATTATCTTTGTGCTATTATAATTTGCACGCGTTTAGATTTTCTTGACTGTATCTTAATCGGCAGTTATTATAATAGTCATATGACAAAACTATTTTTTGTTAATTTAATGTTCATTTGATGAGATAGAGTATCAAACACTGTCAAACATTTTTGCCGCTTATTGAACAAAGTCCATTAGGTCAAAATTGAGATTTTTATTCTGATATTTTTAACTAACTAAAATAGTTTTTAAAAAAACAGTTTTGTTTTAAACTTATGCAAAAAAACAAATAAAATTAAACAATAAAAAAATTTTAAATAATTTGATTTGAAATAAAACAGTTACACATTTAAATAAATGTTTTAAAACTAATACACTGGCCGGGCGATCGCGAGGTACCAGAGCCAAACCATTTTTATTC